CATTTGAAAACCATAAGGTAAACTTTCTACCATCATTTCCTTTGTTTCTACCCGAGCAGATCATTAAAATTCAATTGGGCCGATTTCTGTAGAAATCCCCCCCCCCGTCCTTTGTAAGAAAAATTGTTCGTTTGATTGTTACCTATATAAAATTTGTTAGTGCAATCTGTGAAGGATTAAAATGTGAAACAAGATATAGCTGTTGCTCATAATTCCGGACAGTTTGCTTTATTCTATCTATTTTGGAACACATTTCTTTACGATCCTTTTATTTAATAATTCGAAAAAAAATCTAAACTTTTACTAGAAGCGATCGTTTATCTTCTTCGAAATATTTTTCGACTTTTCTCAGTAGAAAACATCTGAAAATAAGCTGATCCGATCTCTAATGGATGTCAAAAAATGTTTGGTGATTATAATTTCCCTGACTTTTCTACAAACTTTATATTCACCATTAATCTGAATACCAACTTGAATATGCATCAATCGGAAAAGTTCCTGTTCGATTGAATACTATTACAAAATTAAATTTATGAATAGTCTTACAAAGCGAACAGTTTTTCCTATACAAATTTATTTGAAGAAAAAATCGATTTGTAAAAATTCATCATATAAAATGCAAAAAGAAAAGTTCGATCTATAAAATTAAGGCATTAACAAATATTTCACTTTCTCTATTTGAATATGTTTCCATCTGAATTCAAGCCCTTTATTTACGCCGAATCAATCTTATGTTAGACAAAAAGTCTAAGCATATATTTAGAAAGATCATACGATTATGATTCTAAAAAAACTTGTTTTGTTTTTTGTTTTCATTCTCACTTAAATAAACAAAAAACAAATTTCTATTCTTTATTCTACAAACATTTTTCTTTCGATTTCAAATATTTAAATAATTTTTAAAATTTTATCTCACCTCAAATGATCGTGGTATAACACCACGTTGTGGCGAACCCGGTGTATTTATTCCTTGCATTGTAAAAGATTTTCCACATCTAAACAAAATTTATTCATTAGAATAGAAAACGAAAATATATTTATTTACCCTGTTTGTCCATAGGCAAATACAGTTGCATTATATCCTTCGAGTACCTAAAAGAAAATAAACTTGTTCTTGTTTTTATTTTCTTATATTTAATTTACATTTTCAACTAATGGAAAAACTGATTCAGCATAAATATTTTCCGTTATTGAATCTTCCGAATAAACAGCATCGAAAGTAAATTGTTTCGGTGGTTCATTACTTTGGTCAATATTCTCTAATAGAACGTGATTTAATTGTGTATTCATTGAAACTATAGTCTAAAAATTGTATAAAAATAAAAATAGAAGTTATACTATAGATTTTGTATAGAAGAGTTATCTTACTTTACATTCTAAATCGGTTTCACGTTGGTTCATCGGTCGACATCGTACGATAACTCGAACGGTTTCACTAGCAGCCATAACTGGTTATTTCTTAATCGAGCAATCAATCTAAAAGAAAGTTATAGCAGAAACAAAAAAAAAAAAACAGAAAGACGAACAACGACGAAAAGTAAACGAAAAACGATAGTGTAGCTCTATGACTTGTAGTGCTCGCTCATTTAATGTTAAGTGTATTTGATAGAAAAAATTCCATTAAATCAAAGAGAAAAAGAAAATGAAAGGAAGAAAAACCATGACAGTATATGTTGCTATACGAGATATGTAAATTAACTTTCACAAGGTAAAAGAGGACGCCAATGTGCAATAACATAAAATTTCATGGAAACATCTTAAATAAAACTTTTATCAAATACAAATACATTTCAGATTTAATTGAAATATTGAATATATGCAAAATTATTCTCGTAAAAAAAAATATCTACTGTAATAATCGTATGTTTAGACTCTTGATATTTATTTATGATAGTAAATTATCTTTGTTTTGTATGACAAATAGAAAAAAATTTATCTTATCACTTCCGACATAGCAATAAAACAACACATGATGTTAATCATTAATTTCTATATGAAAAACATTTGAATAGAATAACAAGTGTTTTATGAATAAAAAAACTTCTCTGTATTTTAATGATATCTCGTTTAATAATTGTTGATTTAGAGTTACGAACGTACTTCCTCGGATGTTTTCTTTCGAACTCAATTATTTTTTGCCTATAGATACTATACATAATGTTCTAATAAAAAAACCATACAAGACAATGAGATTTAACTAAGCTATCGAGTTTTAAATCTAGAGGCTCTAGGTTTTTTTGTAAAACTCGTATTTTCGAATTTTGATCTGATACTTTGCGCATAAAGGGTGTGCCATAAGTTCTGATCCCATCCGTATTTTGACTATAACTTTTTTTCATTTTGATCTTTAAAGCTGATTGTTTTTCCAAAAGATGCGCCGTGAAATTCTTTACAAAATCATAATCAAACTTATTTCTGTAGAAAGTTAAGAAAAAAAATTAAATGAAGATTATTCAACACATAAAAAATACCCAACTATCGAAACTAACGGGTGTCCCATAATCAATGGCCAGTATTTGTATCTCTTTTTTTATCATCTAGTACGTTTATTTTAACAGCGATGTATACCATAAGATGCAGCGTACAAAGCTCTACAAGTTGCATTAAAAAACTTATTTTATATATGCACTCTTCGTTTTCAAAATGGGTAAATATCTGTGCAACCAATTTTCGACGCTGCAAATAAG